CTGAACCCACAACCTGGGCAAGTGTTCTGACCAGGAATTGAAAACCATGCATGGGATGACAACAATCAACCAACTGAGCCATACAGGCCAGGTCTATTGTTATTATTTTTAATTTTTACCCAAGGATATATGTTATTTATTTGAGAGAGAGAGAGAGAGAGAGATGTAGACATGAGAATCATCAATTGGTTACCTCCTCTATGCACCCCAAACTGGGATTGAACCTGCAAATTTTTGGTGTATAGGATGACACTTCAACCAACTGAGCCACTTGGCCAGGACCTGAATATTATTTTGGGGATTTTGTCTAATTATAATTTCTCTTGTATTGCTTTCTCTTTCTCTCCTGTATACTTCCATATCTACTGTACATGATAAGCTATATTACTAGAGTCACCTTTTACTTTATGCTCTGGTTGGTAAATGAATATGTAGTCTTTTGTGGCAAAAAGAAGCACTAATATCTAATCTCACAGTATACTACCAAAAACAAGAATGCTCCATATTAAGTTATTAAATCAAATAACTGGGAGTGCAAAACAAATCTCAAGACATTTAAGTTTAATGAAAGAAGGTATGAAAATTCTTTCCATCTTTGGGCAAACACCTACCAGTGGTTCTCAACCTTCCTAATGCAGTGACCCTTTAATACAGTTCCTCATGTTGTGGTGATCCCCAACCATAAAATTATTTTCATTGCTACTTCATAACTGTAATTTTGCTACTGTTATGAATCATAATGTAAATATCTGATATGCAGGATGTATTTTCAGGGGTTGCGACCCACAGGTTGAGAACTGCTGAATTATAAAGTAATGCACTGAAACTTAAAGTGACTATAGAAAATTAATAAAAATAGATGTAAAATTTTTGAAAAATGTTAAGGCAGTATAGTAATTTTATATTCAATTTAATTGACTATATATTTATTTGAGTCCATAGAGTAATTCTGGAAACCGAAATTGATGAAACCACAGACACTGCCATCCTGGATTTTATGAAGAAAAGATATTTTTGAAGGAAGGTTTTATAAGGCAGATGATTTTATAGCCTTGAAGGATGGTAGGACATTTGTCGATGAAGGGGAGAATGAGTTCATTTCAGCAGAGGAAGTGTGTGTGTGTGTGTGTGTGTGTGTGTGTGTGTGTATTTTTTTTTTTTCTTAAAAGATGTAGCTAAAAGAATAGGTTATTAGAATCAGGTCACAAAAGACAATGAATATCAGACAAAGCAGGTTATAACCAATAATACAGTAAATAGAAATCTTCTGTTGTTGTTTTATTATTAATTATTCATTTGACATGTGTCTGGTATGATCACAGGTATACTGTAAGCCTAATTTGAACACATCAGAGCAGGTAGAGACTAAGAGAGGAAATCCAATTAATAATCATTTTAAGAGTCAGCAGGAGGGACAATAGGGATGTAATTGAAGGCATGGACATTTGAAAGGATGTTAGGGAAATTGTGGATCAAGTATGTTAGGGAAATTGTGGATCAAGTATGTTAGGCACAGGTCCTCCATGAAAGAATGATGTTAGAGGTGATGAAGCAGGAGAACTTAGTGACAATTCCAGGTTTAAGAGCCCATGTGAATGCGAGGTGATGGTGTTGTTCATAGGAATAAAAGAAGGCATTAGAGTGAGGTGAATGGTGACGAGGTTGAACAGAAGTAGAAGAATGATTATCGGATGAGCTGTCATAGACATAGGCACTTTTTTCTTCAGTAGATCTTTCACCACTACCCTGCAATTGTTAACACTTCTAATGTTCTTGATCCATACTCTGAGTACTCTGTGAAGAAGGAGGAGCAGTGTCTCATTCAAGTGTTATTACTAGGCCCTTGATTCTTGCCTAGTACTTAATTGCTTCCCTATAACAATTCAGTGAACATTTGTAGAGAATTTAAAGTCAGCCATTTGCTTCAAATAAAAAATACTGTCAGTTTTTAATTTTTATATTTGATTTTCTGGTTAAGAGAAGCATTTATGGAAAATCTAGACTCAGAATTGACTGATGTTGCCCACAGGTCTACGCACATTTCTTCTCCAACCAAAAATAGATCCCCATGCTTTTTAAGGCTTGCAGTGTAATCATTGAAAATTTGTTCCCATGCATTACTACTGGTTAAAATGTAGGTAAATCATTAAAAGGGCCAATAGACACCTTTCCTTAATGTGTGGTTATAGGAGCCTTTGCTGTGATCAAATTTAACAAAGAGAAAGTATAGAGGGAAGGTAAAAAAAAGTGATTAAAGAAAATCTTGGAATATTGCAGTTAATTTTAACTACTTTATAATTTTATATAAAGTTAAGAACCCCCAAAGTATCTTCCTGAATCTATCCTCTTATTTCAATCTTCTTTTCATTCTTTAAAAATGTTAAGTAATTGCCCCTGCTCTTGGTTTCCTGAAGTCTGTTCTCAACAGAGCAATGAGAATGTCCTGATTAAAAGTAATTTTGTGTCACTCCTCTGCTCAAAATCTGTTAGAGCTTCCCAGCTACAGGAGAATTAAAGTTGACAATGACCTATTATCACGCTCTACTACCAGCCGTCACTTTCTGACCTCCCCTCCTCTTACTTTCTTACTGGTTTACTCTTCTCCAACCACTTAAACTTCAGCTGGTCCAGAAAGTCATTGGGCATATTTCCAAATTTAGGTTTCTGGCACCCATCTCCAAAACATTCCTTTCCCAGGTAGCATCTTGACTGATCCCCTCACCTCCTTAAGTCTTTGTTCAAATACACCTACCTCATTAAGGCTAACTGTAATCCCCTCTCCCACATGTTCCTGATCTGTCTGACACCCTTCTCTTTATACCAAGCATTTATCATCTTCTAGCAGACTATAAAATTCAGTTATTCATTATGTTTTGCTATTATCACTGTTTTCCATGCTCCTCCACAAAGGTAGTTATTATTCTTGTTTTTTGTTGTTATTGTTTACACATATATTCCCAGCACCTAGCACCATTTCAGACACACTAATATGACCTCAATAAATATTTTGCTGAATAAAAAATTAATGAATTCTCTTTACCAAATATTTCATACATAGCTTACATTTTGCACAATAGCACCTGCAATTTTTTTCCTTGTGTTTTTATTTTTGGTCTGAAGATCACAGTAGCCTGTCCCTTTGTAAAAATAAATAAATAAATAAATAAATAAATAAATAAATAAATAAATAAATGCAGAAACAAAGAAACATGTAATGAATCTGACAATTCCACTTCTAAATGCATCCTTATGGGTACTTGGAAAACATGGAATCCTAATTGGTAGCTAGAAAGCATGGGGTTTAGCCTAGTTTGCACGGTGAAGTATTCTCAGAAATTCAACCACCCGTGACAATGACTCAGGATCCTGCCTCAGAATATCTCTTGTTGGAAGCTTATATCCTGGTGAATACTTTCCTAGACGATGAACCATAAAATTAAAACAAAAACTAAACTAAACTGTAAAATTAAGAACAAATAAAATTATGCAACTGAGCAACAAAGAGAAAGAAAAAGAAAAACAAGACATGGGAGGTTTAAAAAAGTGAGAAAAATGTAAAATAAAATTAATTATAATTATAATAGTTTCTACAGATTTTATAGAGAATAAACTACTCTTGTTATTAGAATTAATACATTTGATCATTTGACATAATTAAATTCACAATTTTATTCTTTTCATCATTCTGCCATGTTAATCATAAATTTAAACAGTCAGCCCTAGCTGGTTTGGCTCAGTGGATAGAGCATTGGCCTTCGAACTGGAGGGTCCCAAGTTCGATTCTAGTCAAGTGCTTGTACCTGGGTTGGAGGCTCAATCGCTGTCCTGGGTCAGGGCAAGTGCAGGATGCAACCAAGTGATTTGTCTCTCTCACATTGATGTTTCTTTCTCTCTGTCTCTCCCTCTCCCTTCCACCCTCTCTAAAAATCAATGGAAAATTATCCTTGGGTGAGGATTAACAAAAAAAATTTAAACAGTCATTGTTCTCTGACACTTACTTTAAATTTTGATTTTTGAAGACTCTTTAGTTAGTGCATTTTTATATGTACAACCAAATATAGCTTCTTATACAGATATGATGAAATGATACGTGGTATAAAACCCTGTAACTGGCAAAGTGCTAAATAAACTAAAGCTATCATTACTATTAAAATTTCACCACATATTTCTTCCCAATGCCTTCATTGTATTAGATTTAGAGTAGAAAAATAATGTCAAAACTGCTTGCAAGTTAACATGCACATCTCCCACTGAAACCTGTTAAGAGTTACACATGAGTATCAAAGGATAGTATTTGGCCCATAGTGTGATCAAGACCTAATTTACTGTACACTGAAAGCATAACATTAGTAATAATAGTTAAAGCTGAATCTCAGAAGGTTGGCAATTTCGCTGAAGCATCCAGAATGTTTCTAATCTGAACAACCCAACTTTTAAAAGCCATCTTCTTTTTCTCTTTCCCTCTCCAATCCAATTAAAAGTTTTCTCTTGCTGCAGAGCAGTGGAAGTTCACAGAAGCTTTATTCTACATTTAACAGCTCAGGGTTTTAAGCTAATCAAAAATAGACTTTGAAGACATAAGCATATACAGTACTATATTTCTGGTGGTGACATATGAGATCTTCTATCATTAAAACAAAATAAAATTATATTTCAATGTTTGCTGCTATTAGAAAACATTGGTAAAACAATGTTTTTGGTTTCAAGTCTTTCACATAGCTGGATCCCATACATGGTAAAAAAAAAAAAAAAAAAAGAAAGAAAAAGAAAGAAAAAAAAAGAGTGCAACTTTATTCCTTTGTTTTTCTGGTAATTTAAAATTTTTAGGAATTAAAAGTTTATGTTCCCATTTTGTTGGGTAAGGGGGAAAGAGAATGGATCTGTATCTTTTTATTTATTGCTGAGCTGATTTTTTTTTTCATGATGCCAGGGCACTGACTTATCCTGTGTATACTCAACATATTTAATCAATGGGTAATAACTGAAATATATGAAAAATAGGCCTCCTGGTACTTCCCACAGGCTGTGTTTTTACACTAACTGTACGGAAAGAAGAGGCAGAGTGAACCCACCCTATATATAGGACCCTTTGCCTGGTATGTGTTGTGAATGGGGATGGGGACATGGATTAACAAAAGTAAAGAACTTCATAACATAACATAGCATAACATAACATAACATAACATAACATAACATAACATAACATAACATAACATAACATATATGAAAAATAAATAAGTGAGCTCAATTATTTTGGGGCTTGATATGTATGATCTACACATTTTATTCTTCTGATCTATTCAGTTTTTAGTAGCAAAGGATACAAAAACCAAGAGAAAATGTAGCTCTGTACTTGTAAAGCTCTTCCTAAACTAGAAAAGTATATATGCTTGCTTAGCCAAAATTCTGGCATCCTAAATCTTCTTAGGTTGTGATTATGACTGCTGCTCTCTATCACTATGTGATCTTAGGAGGATAATTACTTAATTTATTTGTGGCCTTTTCCCCAGTTTCCCATTTCAAGGAAACTGCTATCTGCTTACAAAACATCTAGGGTCTGAGCTAATGAGGTTTGATTTCATTTCCTTTTTTCATTGTGTTCCAGCAGCAGCTCCCAGGCTCTCTATACCTAGGAGGTAATGTGTTTCCAGGGTAGTTAAACACTAAGTAACTTTCCCCAAATTAGGGAAGAACTAATTCTCCAAGTTCAAATTTGGCAGTGACAGACTTTATGCAGGAAAACTATTCTGCAATACAACTAAGAGAAGCCATGGCACCAGGTAATATGACTCATGCTGAAAGAAGCATGGATAGATTCTGAAATAAAATGGGATGATAAAAAGAGGAAGTAGAGTTTGATTTAAAAATGGACTCCCATTCATTCTTAATATTTTTATTATGCAATCTCCTTCCTTTCCCAGAAATATACACTTTAGAAGATTGACAATAGCTTATACATCAAAACATAGGTCTAAAATCTGATTTATCTTAAGGAGATAGATGTTTTTCATTAATCTTAATATTAACTTTGAGGAAGTCAGAGAAGCAGGGAGAGATTTTGGAGAGAAAGAGCAGGGAACCTTCTATTGTCTATTCAACACCTTCTGGATAGACAGAAAGTTTCAAACTATATTTTTTAATCCAATAATAATCTCTGTAGTAGGAAACATTATCATAAGCCCCATTAACAGATGGGAAAACAGAGACTTGCAAAGATTAAGAAATTCACCCATCAGATAGCAGGGTGATCATTAAAAACTGGGTCTATTTGATCACAAAATTCAATCAAATAAACCACATAATGAATCTATTGTTAGACAGTTTTTAAAGAACTGAGGAATTATTATGACGAAAAGGAATATAAGTTAGCAGTTAGATCCAGCAAAGTGCTTTCTTAATTATATCAGTCCTCCAATAGAAATACATAATATTTCTCATATTATAAAATACAATGATTTTAAACAATAGAGGCCTTATAATGACCCTTATATAACCATGTTACCAGAATACTTGCACTAATATAAAATTTTTAAATGAGCCAGAGGTGATATTTTCTTCTTTTTCAGAGATGCGCTGAGAGGCAATGATTTAGAAATAGAATTATCAACTACAATTCCTTTGTATAGTTTCTGTCAGGACCTCATTTGCAGCAAGGAGTTTCTCTTCCATGTATCTATATTACCTTCAGTCCCAAATAGTTAGTGTTGACTACAACTCTTAGAAGAATGTGTGGCTATTTAGTCCTTGAATTCATATTTCCTGGAAATTCTTTTATTTTTTTTTAGAAATTATAGCATATTTATTTTCATTTTTAGGAATAAATATGGTTTGAACTTTTTATTTTAGCATTTATGTAGCTTCATATAAGCCTCTCAGTTCAATTTTGCTCATGCAGACATGGCATCTTTTGGTCATCATGGACTTTATTTTCTTATTTTTTATTTTTTAAAATATATTTTCATTGATTTTAGAGAGGAAGAGAGAGATAGAAAAATCAATGATGAGAAAGAATCATTGATTGGCTGCCTCCTGCACACCCCCTACTTGGGATCAAGCCTGGAACCTGGGCATGTGCTCTTGACTTGAATCAAACCAGGGATCCTTCAGTCTGCTTGCCGATGCTCTATCCACTGAGCCAATCCAGCTAAGGCTGGTCATCATAGACTTTACATGTGAAAGTTCTTTCAGTGTATTTTTAGAATTTCCATAAAACCTTAATGTCCATAAATCAAATAATTCATTTTTGGACTATATTTGATTTTGAATAAAATAGTTCATTTATCTTTTTATGTAAATCATTGCTAAAATATTGGTAAAATACAAGGTTTGATAATTGCTTTAAATCAATAAAAATCCAGGCATTGTTAGAATGTTAGAGAGATAACAAAGTTGTAAAGCCAGCCAAAATACACTGGGTTTTATTCTCATCATTGGTATTTCCTAGACTGCTTCCTAAGGTTACTTCCTTGGTAAAGCTACTCAACTTCATTGATCCCCAGTTTCGTCATTTAATTATAGTCCTGACTTTGCAGACAAATAATATAAAGTACCTGATACAATGTCTAGCTCAGTAATTAATCAATAAATCTTAAAGATTTTAGCAATAGTTATTGGAATCCTTCAACCCAATACAATATTCTTTATAATCAGACTTACTTTTAGTACTTTTTGCCACAGAAAATTATTTACTATTACATAACTTCAATTGCGAAGATGGTCTCCCTTTAACTGATCCTAAATCTGTCTACCTAGAACTTCTATCCTTGTGTACCCTTTGATACTTTCAATAACGAAGAGAAGTCTGACAACAGATCAATCATATATAAATAACTTGTTTCCCATTCTGTCTTACATGGTAAACATCCTCTGGTTTTGTTTTGTGAGATTATTTTTTCCTACATGATGAATAAGTTTCCATTCTTTTGGTTTGGCTTAGACAAAACTTAACTAGTTTTTTTTAACCAAGAACTGAAGTAGACCCACTATCTTCTGGCTTGGTATGATCCAAGGGCTCAAATAGTGTCATTAGGAACTTGTGTGGTGTGTGTGTGTGTGTGTGTGTGTTTTCATTTCCAAACATGTCTCACCTACCACATATTGGATTCACATATTTTCCCATTTTAATATTAATATATTTTCCAGTCTTGTGTCTTCACATGTCTGAGTATAGTGGACAAGAGAAAATGTCTTCAGCCTAACTCTCATTAATCATCAAATTAATCAATGTGGCACTGTGGACAGTTATATAATATTTTATTATATATGGGATAATTCTGTCTGTTAGAATAGACATTGCCATCAATCAATCAGAATAGACACTGGCCATAAACAATAATTATGATAGCAGAGTACACCTATGCTGAGCTTAATTTTTTTCAAGTTTTTCTCCACCATCTAAAGTCTAAAGCAGACTTTAGAGTCAACCTCACCCTAAAATCAAGGATGAGAGTGAAAGTCATCTCAATTTCCAGGAGGAAAAGAGAATCATGCTTATGAGAAGGGAAATAAATGGTTGAGTAATTTTGAATACTGTGGGGAAGCATGAGACTTGGTTGGAAAGTTTGTATGGAGGACATTCTGAGAAAAGTGAAGCGTGCGAAAGGCTGCCCACCCTGCTTATCAGAATTTTGACTTAGGGGAGTGCCAAAGGCTGTGCCCTAATTATCCCTTGACCTTTCCAAATAAGTCTGTGCATGTGCAGACCTCCAGGTGTTTACTGGAATCCTTATGCTTAATCTTTGGGTGTCCTTGCTTAAAGGACACTAAAAACACATGTGTCCTCCCAAGATTACTTACCCTGCTGATGTATCTTAAAGATAAACTTTATCTCAAACTGCTCTTACAATAAAAGCCTAACAAGGCAGGCAACCAAGACTGTCTGGTTCCTTTAGTCAGGCAGTCCCTTAGCCCTCTCTTTCACAGCAAACATTGTGTGGGACTAATCCATTCATCCATAACTCAGGGTCTGCTGGTCAGTCCTGGCAAAGTACTAAAAACAACCCTGGTAAACTATACATGGTTTTGAGAACTTCCAACAACTTAAGTAATTGACTGAATGAATTTCAGTTCAATTATTGTTTTATTGAACATACTCTCCATAATTAATACCAGGCATGAAGTCTGATCAATAAGTGTCGAGCAGGAATATTACCTGGTTTTGTCTAAAATCTATATTTCTGTTAAGGAAACCTAAGATTTCTCTAACCAATTTGATATTCCTCACTTTAAATATTGCCAACCTTTTTCCTCAGCAACTATACTTATATAGTTCATAGTTCTCTACCTTGTAAAATTTGATCCTACTTGGTTTATTCTGTCCTCATTTTATATAAACTCAAACAATAAATCACCATCTAGAAACTTCAACATATAATCTCTAGACACTGAAAATTAATAAATGACCATCCAATTACTGAAAAAACAATTTTTTAAAAAGAGATGACACATAGTAAAGGACACCTTCCTCTAGATTTATATTGATGTGTTAATTGACACTGTTTGATCAAATAGCTATGAATGAACTTCAGTCCATATTTCTCCACCATGTAGAAAAGAATATGTGTTTTATGAAAACATTGTATATAGGCCATAATTTTTATAAATTGTTGGGTGGATATTAATTTTAATTTAAGAAGCTTATGTTAGTATCCAGTTATTCATTTTTTTTGGTGTTCACACTAAAAATAATTACTCATCAAATTTAGAATCTTGCCTGGATCAGCATTAACCTTAGTGGTGGGAAGACTGGAGGATCCATTTTCCCATTTAGATTTATGTTACCATCGTCTTATGCAGAACAGAGAGACTTCAGATTCTGAAATAAAACATCATCAATTCTACATTATCCTGAAACATATTATCTGCATTTCAACTTATCATCATAAATCTCAGTCTCACATTCTGAGTTCTCTAATTAAGCAGAGTATGTGATGAAGTCTTATAGTGCTACTGCTGTCTGTCTTAATTTCTTTCACCTGTGCTAGGTGTGGCGCAGTGGGAAATATTTTAAACAGTAATACTGAATTATCTCTCTAAACGCAACAAAAGCATAAGACATAAATTTGTCACACTTTAAGTATTAAGAGGAAAATATTTCCACTTGGGCCAGTATACTGTGTTACAACATC